TTTTGTTTTTATGGGATTCTGGAGTTGTGCCAACACATGTGTTTCTGTGTATCTGTTTCTTGAGCTCTTCTTCTTCCATTTGTTTTGTCCTATTTCAATGTATTGTTTTGTTATACTATATTTTATTTTATTGTTATCCCTTAGAAACTTGTTTGCTAAGTGGGTGACCTGAATGGGAGGGGAGATAGGGAAGGGTTGGAATGGTGGGGGATTAGAATTAGAATATATTATAATTTTTTAAAAGTCTATTTTCAATAAAGGAAAAATATTTTTGTAAAGCACATTCTTCTACACCTGGCTTTAAATTTCTTACTAATGCAGGGCTAACTTGCTATGACTGGAAAGTACTGCTTTAAAGAGAATTAATTTAAACTCAAAATGGAAGCCAAGACCCATAAACTAGATAAAATTCTGCTAAAATGGAACATACCATTAAAAAGAGAATTTTTAATTCTGCTTTTTGTTCTAAACCCACTGATGCTGAAAAAAAAAAATCCTGGTATAAAAGACAGCTGTGGCTAAAGGTTGGGCCATGTGATGAGACAGGTCTAGCCTAAGCATACTTGCTTCCCTAGGCTTTAGTCTCCTCTTGGGTAAACTAGTAATATAATCTCACAGAGTCTCAAGGGACGATAAAATGATACTAAAGTGGGAGGTAGCTATTTTACTCCATGTGTAGCTATTAGCTACTCACAGCCCAAATTCAGTGATGCCTCTTAGAGACTATATTTGGCATATCCCCCACTTTCCCAAATTGGTATGCTAAAATGAATTCCAAGGCATTTGGAAATGGGGGTGTTTGAGAAAAATCAGGTCATGAAGATAAAGTCCTCATGAGTGGGATTAATCCTTCCAGAGCTATTTTGCCCTCCTCCTCCACAAAATGGTAGAGCAAGAGAGTCCAATCAAACCAGCACCCTGACTTTGGACTTCTAGATTCCAGAACCCTTAGAAATAAGTGTTTCTGGTTTAAGACACTTGGTGTGGGGTCACTTATAAGCCCAAGTGGGCCAGGACTACCTGATGTATTAGGGTTACCTGAGAATCAACATCTAAAGATATATACCTATATAGGGAATAATGTAAGGAGGTGTTCATGCCACTGTTGGGGAGACAGATGAGTTCTAAGAGTGTAGTGTGGCTACAAATTCAGATCTGAGCTGATGCTGCTATCTTGAGTTGCTATCTTTACAACACAGGATGGGTTAAAAGACTGCAGGGTTTTCTTGGGACTTCTGGGGGTGAGGTGGGTACTCTGAGTTTCCATGTTGCAGGTCTCTTCATCCCTTAATTCTGGGACCACATGAAGCAAAAAAGAACACCCAGAGAACTCACCAAAAATCAATACACGGATTCCAGGGTTCTTAGGCGGGCTGCCAGAGCCTAGCCTAGTATACAGCTGACAGCTCAGCGAGGGAGAGATGAGGAAGACGGCATGGGCATGCATTCAAATCTTTGAAGCACAGGGAGTGCTGTAACATACAGAGGGGTGGCACATTCACAAACTAGAGTGTTGCTCACTGTGCAGACAAGGCATGTTGATGGATGACTTCATTTTGCAAGGGAAGCTTTGTGCAACTGACAGGTTTAAACAGGATACTTAACTTTTTAACAGCAAATTTCCTCATTTTAAGTCATCACTGAACAATGGTCACAGCGTAGCATATGAGAGGACAAGTGTTCTGGGGCTGGAAGGAAAGGGCAGGAAGGAAGATTAGAATTGACAGGATGCAGGAACCTGACCCTCTGAGTGAGGGAAGAATCGGTTATTTCACTCACTGTATAACCTTACCTTCATTCCCCCATATTTTCCTGCCTTCCCATTGGTACCTTCTCTGTTATTTGGCCCCGTGACACAAATTACGAAACAAGGTGAACTGTGTATGTAGGTAGATTTATTTTAAAGCCAACAGGAAACTGAAAGACAGCACCTTAGTCAGACATGACACTCCAGCTTGCCTACATGTTACACACACTAAAATACAGAATGGGACATCCTTTAAATGGCGGCTATAAGTCACAGTTTCTGGACAGGAGACAGCTTCTGAAAAGTTGGTAGGAAGATGAAAGTTGGCCTTTTGGAGAGAGTATGGTGCCTGAGGTGCTTTTACAGGAAGTGTGTGTACAGTGACTACCCAGTGCATGACCCAACCTTTCTGAATGTTCAAATGCTGCAGAGGATATTGCTGCAAGAAGGGCAGGTTCAAAGTGCTCTCGACAATTTCCATTTGAACTACAGCAGGCTGAACTATGGCAACGTTCTTTGAACACTGACTGTTCCTCATTACAGTTTGTACGTCCAACTGCCGGACAATAAAAGCCACTCACATGTACTTTATTTGCAGGTAAGTTTTGCCTTTTCTGACAGCCCGTTTCTGTGCCTGTGATTTTGTTCTCTAAACATCACTTCTCTTTCACATTTTTCCTGTTCTTTGTTCCCTAGAACCCAGATTTCTTCTTTAGGGGAGTTTATTTTCCTATGTGTACAATCGCTGGGAAGCCATAAAGGGAACAGACATGGTTTTGCATGTGTGTTTTGAAAGAAAATACTTTCCACCGAAATGCCTGTTTAACTATAGACCAGAAATGAGCAGGAAGTCGCGGTGTGGGAGGTAGCTCTGCTTGAAAGCCTCTAGTCTAGGGATGTGTACTCCTGCCACTGGGCCATGCAGTGTCACAGCAAATGAAGATACATTCACATGAGTTCTGCAGCTATCTGCTGGGATGAAGGCTGCCCATGCTGGCCACCATTGACAGCTTTTACTCCTCGGACAGCCGTGGCTCTGCAGGAGCATCCTGTGTGCTGGCCAGCCCAGCTTCACCTCCAGGTTCTCTCTCTCCTTCCACAGAATCAGCAGGAGTGGAATTTTCTTGGGAGATGTCCACTGTAGCCTCTGGTTGATCTTCATTAACATGGTTAGAGTTGACATCGAGCTTTCCATCTAATAAAAAGAAAAATATATTTGTTGCTGTTCTGTGCCAGGCAGTCTGGCAATGTTACTCTATTAATCATGGTCTCTACATGGGGCAGAGTATTACTTTTATTATAATTGTCCTGATTGATTGCATCAATCAGGAGTGACCCTGAGAAGAGGGGTTGAGCACTTGTTCTAAGCGTCATGACGGTGACAATAGCAGTGGCTCTAAGTCCACAACTCTGTATTAGAATTGTTTGGGGTTGACAAAAATCTGCATGTAACTAACTTGAAGTCCTTGAGAAAATAATTGCCTGTATTTAGTTAATTTTTATTGATAAAAGCCTACCCATTTTCTGTCCTCAACACTGGATAAAAATGTTTGCTCTGCTCAATGGTGGCGCACGCCTTCAATCCCAAAACTAGGGAGGCAGAGGCAGGGGGATCTCTGTGAGTTCAAGGCCAGCCTGATCTACAGAGTGAGATCCAGGACATCCAAGGCTACACAGAAAAATCCTGTTCTGGAAAACCTTAAAAAAAAAAAAAAAAAAAAAAAAAGCTGATCCACAGCAAAAAAGACAAAATAGAAAGACTAACTAGTCCTTTTAGTGGCAAATGTTCCTTTTTAAAAATAACTTTGTAAAAACCATTCAATCATGCCAAATGATAAAAGAGCCACACTTCATGAGTAGAGACAAAAGTGGTCAGGAACAGTTGATTGTACATAGGGAATGTTTCCTAGAGATACAACACACTTCCAAGAAAGCAGGATATATTCCCTCCCAGGGCTGGGCAGGTTCCTGGAAAATGAGAATCACAGTAGAAGCAAGTCACAGCTGCAAAGGAAAAACAGTTACCTAACTCTACTGAGAGAGAGGGAAAATGTGTAACTCGTTGCTCTCATGCTTGCAGAGTGAAGTGTGGACATCAGATCTACAACTTGGTCTTTAATTTATGAATAAACTATAATTTCACTCATAATATTCAATTATAATTAAAAGGGTAACGGCTTCTAACTTTAAAGCATTCTAGTAGCCATTGAGGGACATTCCAGGTCAACTCAATGACCTTACAATCCTCCACGAGTGACTCATGAGGACACCCACCACTCCAGGGCAGTCAAAAGTACAGTAACCACATCATCAGATCGCCATGTGTCTGGTTGCTAGTGACATCTCAGTTAACTGCATTCTATGCAGTGTCCCAAAGCTGGTTACCCCTAAAGGTGACCCCAGTTTCTCTGTACCCAGTGTCACTGAGCCTTTCTTTCTCTCGCAAAGGGACCGCACAAACTCAATGGATTTGTACATACTCTTTTCCTCCTGGCTCTTATGTTTGGCAGCTTCAGACTGTTGCTTCTCATAAATGTCTTTCAGACTCTTACACATCTTCTTATGTGCGAACCAGTGTGTCTTCTGGCAGGTCTGGTCACAATATATTACCTGAAATCAATTACAAATTTGTTTTCATTTTAAGGATTAGAATTGCATGGTTTCCCAGCAAACATGAAAACAAGAACTATTCTATAGTCTTTCCCATACTTCAAAAAATAAAACGAAACAAAACTACTGTGTGGTTGTATATAATATAGCTGTGTGTTGGTCCAAGGGCCTACAAAAGACTTTAGTTACAGGCATATTAAGAACCTTTGAAAGCCAGGCATTGGTGTCTCTCGGGAGGCAGAGACAGGCAGATTTCTGTGAGTTTGAGGCCAGCCTGGTCTCCAGAGAGAATGCCCGGATAGGCTCCAAAGCTACACAGAGAAA